CGTGGGCACTCGACAAAGCCTTTGAAATCAGTCTGCTCAGTCTGCAGAAGAATAGGTGGAGAGATTGAGAGAACAATTTACATTGATCTGTCATTGCCGACTGAGTGACTGAAGATGTCAAGATTGTTGGCGTTGTTGGGAGAAGGAAATGTTCGAGTGGTAGATATGAATCGATCAATGCATGAAAGAGAAATAAATCCTGTTCCTCTGATTCAGGAACCCTGCAAGACCTGTGGCTTCACCCGCTGTCATCTGCGGTGAAACGGTTGGTTCCCTTCGACTCATCCGCTGGTTTACAAACCACCGGGAACGTTTTTCATGATCGCGGCTTTGCACGCGTTGGTGATAATACAGTTGCTCAGCGGGAAACAAAATAGTTGTGCATCAGGGTAGCTTGGCGCGTCTGCACAACCGGGGCTTGTATCGGTACACACCCGGGATTCAGCAAGTTTTCACCGGTATACTTTTACAACCCCGTGACAGCGGAGTTTCAACGAAAAGTGACCTCGTGGTGTATGACATAGTGGAATTGATTCACTTGGATTTCATGCCATAGAGCTTTTAACCCAATTTCACCAGTTCAATGACATTTTGATGTCTGGTAAGTGATACTAGTTTCATACATTTCCACAAGTTACTTCTGTCCAGAATTTTGTTTGGTTGTAAAGTTGAATCCCATGCCCGGAGTATTCTCCAGAAAATCAAAATCAAAAGCCAAAAAAACAATTTCTGGACCCAAGTCTGTGCAATTTGTCCAGATTCTACTTTGGATTCCCTTCTATACTTGCCTGAGCCACCAAGATTTCAAAAGTCCTCTTTTGGAGTACAATGAAGACTTTTATAGCCTCATTGGAGGCTCATGTTTCTGAGTGATGGAGAAGATATCACAAGATCTACAATCACATCAGATCCGAAACACAATCAAATTCATAACCGTACAAAACCGTTTTACTTCCGTACCCTTTTTGACCACCAAGAGTGAATTTTGCTTTTCATCAAGAAACTTGTTATAACATCTTAAGTCCCCTACATGCCTCTGGGATTTGTTGCATTTTTTTCCCCTGGGACACTAGGAAGGGACTTAGTTTAAGTTAGAGAAAGAAGGGAGATTTAAATCAAATCAATTCAAATTCCACTGAATTGTAAGTCCGAAAAAAAAACCCTATCTTTTGTTAATACAGACAGAAATTTGAATCTTGATGATGAATTTTTACATTGATCAAAAATTCTACAACTTCTCTTTACAATTCAAACAGTTCAATACACACATTTCATTTCATTTGACTTTCTTTCTTCTTGATAATCTACATTAATCCTTTCTTTCATCAAACCAAGTTCATTGATAATCCAAGCTTGTTTTTATAAAGATCATGTTGTGACCTATCAGATTTCTTTGAAGACTTTAAATTCACTTCAATCTGTTCTCTTATATATCTCATTCAAAGCTATATTCAATTCAAGTTGAAAATACAATCAGTCTATACTTCTCACTAACCAAAATCAATAGAAAATAAGTTCATTCAAACCTTTGAAATATCACGTCCCCAAATCCCTCTTTTGATCCAATCCATCATTAACAATACTCTAGTTCTCATTGAGACCTGTTCAGACCAATAAATCGATCTCCACTGTATCAGTAACAAATCCATTCAAATCCACCCCACCAAAAAAAATGGGTTAGTCAGATGATCAAGATCACTGCATTCCTTTTTTTGACTTGAAAATCAGATTATTAAGAGAGAAAACGAAAATCTAAAGACTAACTAAATAAGCAGCAATTAATCCTCCAGCAAAACTACCCTTTTCACCAAAATCAAATACAGCCGAATTTCCGATATCTAAAATCATCATTTTCCAATTCTCTCAACACTCATCTTTTTCTTTCATCAAAACATCGGGATCTCTTTCCAAAAAACAAACACAAAAGAAAAAAACTTACAAGCTAAACTACCTAAATGACGATAACTAAAAGGTTCTTCTTCTTCTTCTTCTTTCTTTTCAATCTCTTTTCTTAATTTATTAAACTTTTTAGCTAAATATTTTCCTTCTTGATTGGCTACTTGAGCTGTGGCTGGTAAACTAGTTAATCGATTCGAAATCTCTTGAAACATTTCAGATAATTCATTTAATCCTAAATTATTATCATGATCTTTATCATATTTTTCAAATACATCCCTTGATCGGTTTGGTTTGGTTTGGTTTTTGGGAAAAAGAATGTCCAAAAAAATTGAAATTTAAATCAGGATCGGGTGAAGATGATGATTGAAAGGAAAGATGAATAAAAGGTTTTCTTACCTAACTTTTTCTATATGCATTTGTGAGGTTGGAAACTTTCTTCTAATATGTTTGATCATCATTTCAAATTCTTTAAAATCAATTTCTCCATCTCCATTCTTATCACACTGTTCCACTAATTCCAAAAGATAATTAACCTATAAAAAATTCACCATAGTCAGACTAAGCCTTCCAAGAAAAAAAGAACTTCATGTGAATTTATTTAAAAGTCTTCAGATTCAAACGAACTTACTAAATTCGTTTCAATCGTTGAGGCGTCCCCAAGAGCGTAAACTGTATCAATCGGAGCACCTTTGACTCTCAAACTGAATTCAAACTCTTATCAATCTCATGAAGATCGACTCGAAAGGATCAAAAAAACATCCACTTAACTGTGAATCGACTTCTAAAGCGTGTTTATGATACTGATTTGGTAAATATCCTGCTACCTTCTTCGTAAATGGATTCATCGCGATTCCAGTTGACCAAAGTACAAAACCGGCTGGAATGGTATGTTCTTTTTTATCTGATTTATCAGTGTAGGTTACTGAAGTGGGTGTGATCTCTTTCACGCGCCTGATAACGATGAAGATTGACCATGGTAAGAAATATCATTTGAGATCAGGAGCGTTGGATCAAGGGAAAGACTTGGACAGTTACTTACGCATCTAGATAACCAATCCCAAAGAGTCACGAAAACGATCCATAGGGTTCAGTATACATATCTTGAGCCGATGGGATCCGATCCAAGATGACTTACTTAGAATTGTATCAATCTCAGCCTTTGCGAAACGTTTCTCAGCATATTGTGAGATTTTTTCACTGTAGGTATTGAGAATATGATCTCTAGATTGAATTAAGTGAATGGAGACTTCACTACCCAATAGTTTTGGAAACTGAAATGTTCAAGTATAATCTCAAGCCAATCATCAGATAAGAGTGAAGTGAAGATTGAAGAAAAGAAAATGTTGACAAACATATTTGATCATATCTTCATTAATCATGTCATATAACTTCGTTTCAAAAGAGAATCAGTCAGAATCGAATTTCAACAAAAAACAAACAAAGAAGAATGATTAAAAGCAAATGGTGAAAGTTTTGACCCACCTCTGAAGCAAATTCAACACCAGTTGGACCACCTCCACACACCACAAAACTTAATAACCTTCTTCTCTCTTCTTCTTCTACTGCTGGTAAATTAGCAGTTTCTAAATTATTGATGATTTTCGATCTAATCTCTCTTACGTCATTTATGGTCTTAAGTTGTGAACAATTCTTCAATCCAGGTACTCCATGAGTATTTGATACTGAACCGACTGAGATCACCAATTTATCGTATGCTAAAAGTTGAAAGAGGGTATCAGTTTTGTCGAAAGATTAGGAGAGATTGATGATCTGACATTCTGATTCACTTACGAACATAAAATGATTCTTGATTTTCCACTGTCGGTTTCACCTCTACTAATCTAGACTTTAAGTCTACATCCACAGCATAACCTTGAAGATAATGTCCTTTGATTCTAGCAATGATCTTTCGAATCGGTTCTACTAATGTCCGGGTTTCAACTGTACCTACTGTGGCTGATGGTAAGAGAGGGGTGAAGAGATTATAATTTTCAGGCGCACTATGTATTGTAAAGGATACCAAGATCAGTGTTAATTGAAAGAGAAGGATGAGTAAGTTGATCTGACATTACGACTACATGATAATTATCTGGATCGAGCGAATTGATTAATCCTACACCCTATTGATTGATGATCATCAAAAGGAACTCAAACTGCTCAGTATTGATCTGAGACCAGACGCGAATCCAACACTCACACCCCAACCTCCACCAATGATGACTAATTTAGGTTTTTGAGAAAGATCTTGAAGAGTTTGATCATGATCACCAATCAAATGATCTGCAATCTATATCAAACAAACCAAAATTAAACTTCGAATCAGAAAACTTGATTTGATTCAAAAATAAATCAAAAACTCATCCACCCATGGTTTTTCAATACTCACTTTGAGGTTTTTGGGACCACCACGATGAGAAGTAAGAGAGAGTTTATGAATTGGAACTTGATCAAGATGACGATCTGAATAAGTAGTTGAATCATAAATCAATAATCCAATCAAACAAGTTCCACAACTGATGAATTGATCAATCACCACCCCCCCCGACAAGGCAAAAAAAAGAAAAGAATGTGTTTTGATTAACTTTATATTTTCAAAAAAAAGATGAAAGATGTTTGGTAAATGAATTCATCATTTACCTTGCGGTGATCACTCCGAATGAAACTCCTAGGATTGTGAAAACGCGTAAGATTGGATTGGTTGGAATCTTCCATCTTGTTGAAGTTGAAGTTGAAGTGAATGATGGTTTATTTGATGAGAATCGATTAATCTCTTGGAAGTGTTTTATGTTTCTTAACTTCGTTGAAGCTTTGAATAGATAAGATCGATCTCTTGATATCATTCGCCACATCTTGCAATCTCCAAAGTACTCTTCTGATTCAGTTTACACTTTAATCTCAACAAAAATCAAATCCAACAAAACTCAATCATATGTCACTTCATCTCCTACTCTATCACAACACCTTCTCCCTCCGTCTCTCTACATCCTCTTCTTTCATCAACCCACTCCTCTGTCTTATTCCGACCGATCAGTAGTGATACATTCAAACACCTCGAGCTATTGTGTTGGATGATGGTTGCTGAATGTGGGCCGGTACCGCCAGTCTCTATAGCTCAGTGGTAGAGCGGCCGCCTGCAGTGCTACGTAGTACCGCCCAGCGGCAGGCCACGTGTTCAAACCACGTTGGGGACTTTCTTTTTTGAGCTTGATGCAAGTAATTCAACGTGCCTTTTCATTTCTTGCAACGTTGAAATACAGCCAAACCTCTTGGATAACATACCTGTAGATTGGCTTAACCTACTCACTTTCACACATTTTTGACTGAAGAAGCATTGTCAGGGCCAAATTATGCCTTGTCTGTGTCATACCTGATGGCATACTTTTTTTGGGTACAGTAGTAAGGTCTCAAGGCATAAAATACCCAAGATAGCCAACCTTTGGCTGATAAAGCAAGAGACACTTCATCAAAACCTAATGATTTTGATGCTTACATCAAATTTGCAAACAAGAAACAAAGCTTGAGATCTAAAGATAGACCAAAGCTTTTATGTGGTCTCTCTTGATGAATTCCAATATATCTATCACTTTGATTGAATCCCTTGTATCATCAAATGAAGTAATCGGCTGTACTCATGAGTTGTGTTATAAGAAAGATTCTATCTTATGACATGAAAATATCTGATTATAAGTATAATTCTAAACACATACAATTATACCAGATGACATTACTCTGTCATATGGCTTAACCTGCCATAAGGCACACTAAATTGATCGGACTAAGGGGTATGGCTTATCACATGTTTGACTGTACTTACCTTGACGCAAACGGTTCTCATACTTCTGTTTTTACAAGAAGGATGTAGACCTTTTAAGATTAAGGTCATTTTGGAGCAATGGTTGATCGTGAAACACAAGTTGATCACCCTCAAAGGTATGTGTGAAAACTTAGATGAAATTGAATCATGTTGATAATTAAAAGAAGACCATTATAAGTCAGAGAATCAGTACATCATCCATATCTTGCTACCTATCATTAATCGTATCATAGCCTCCTGGGTTAATCTGATTCCTTAGTGGGCTCAGAGCTTGTATCGTATTTCTAACTTAAATAAGATTTACCAGATCAACGTTTTCAAAAAGGGTAGGTTGAAGAAGGGTTTGGAGGAAAGATTTGTGTAACAGGATCCTCAAATGCTCATGATAATTGTGTACAGTCGAACCCGCGCAATTGCATACCCGCGCAGGTGCATAACCTGTGATAATGCATACAAAAAATCCAGGATCTTGTTACGTTTCACTGCCAAACTTGACAAATGAAATGCATAACCAGTCTTAATGCATACAAAACGCTTTCCACCCAAATTATGTGATTGCGCGGGTTTGACTGTACTCCAGTCCAGTACAAAAGTCAGATCAATCTTCTAGATGTACAGTAGATTTCAAAACCCTTGAAATTGAGAGGTTTTAAAAATCGAGAGGTGAACCGTGCGCCACCTGTGAAAGGTGTCAGATATGCATACAAGAATGATATCATAATTGGCATAAACTTCCCAACTCTCAGACCTGTGTGGTGCACTTGGTTGTGGGCCCCTCATGTGTGATCAAACATTCCTAGAACCTTCTAGATTTTTGAGTTCGAGCCGCACTGAGTGTATCTTTTGAAATTATTTTTTTTTACAAATTTCTCCTTTTTCAATTTGTTTGTTATCATGAAACAAAACAAACAAAAAAATTGGCTATTGTTTTTGTTTGCAAATGTTTGTGGCCACTCTATCAGTAGACAAAAAAAGTCAAATGAAGCAGGCCACACGAGTCGAACACAAGAGTGCAAGTATTATCAGAGTGGCCATCACACCATCTGACCGTTAACCCACCAAGGAATAAGGGTTTGGAGATTAAACAAGTTTTTAGATACGGTGTATTAGTCGATCTGGCAAGTAAGTTTGACACCTTTCACAGGTGGCGCACGGTTCACCTCTTGATTTTTAAAACCTCTCAATTTCAAGGGTTTTGAAATCTACTGTAGATGAAAACTATATCATCTGTGCATTGTGATAATATAGGAAGAAGCTTGAGAAAGAGAGACTGATTAAGTTTGATATGAGTAGGGAAATTTGGTTCATACGCTAAACGTCTTAAAATTTCTTTCTATTTGACTTAGAACTCAATCCAGAGTCAAAGTGATCAATGCTTTATAAGAACCAAGTCATCTCTTGCTTTTGTGAATCGAGAAGTAAGATCGTAGTAGTTGGATAAATAAGACTTGATCAGCTTTTTAATCTCTTGATTATCAAATATGTGATCTATCAACTTATTTTGATTAGATAGAAATAACAAAAACAAAACACTTCAAGAAGTAGTCAATAAACAAAGAAAGCTATCGACTTTATGGGTGAGATCTTAGAATCAAAGAGGAATTATTCCGTCTCATGGGTTAATTATTGAGACTGATCAATAAATCTTGTTCTGGAACCAAACTCACACTTGAAAGATCTTATCACAGTTCTCTTTCGTAAGATCAAAATCGATCACCATGATCGTGAACCGAAAAAAAAGTATGTATGGTTCGCCTTTGAAGGATGTTAGACCGATTTTATCGTATGTGCGTGTTCTTTTCTAGACTAATTAAATTCTTTTTGAATCTCATTTAGTCCTCAAGTTTATTTGATTCATAGTTCTCAACATATAATTCAGCTTTGGCTTGTTTGATTTTTCTTTGACGTTTATTTCTGTTTACATCTTTAACTATCCTTTCTCTTCTCACTTTCTTTTGAATTTTCCTCTTGATCTTTGAGTGGATTTACAGAAGAAAACTAATTCGCTCTTTTCAAAGAAATAATGAATCCGTTCAAGGATCAACTGAGATTGGTTGTGAGTTGACATTTTTCTCTTTCTTCTTCACTTAGTAATATTCGCAGTTTTCAAAACAAAACCTTACCTGATTCACGTACCGGTATTTTATTTCATAGAGAACGATGATGTACCCTCAATTCCCTACCTGGACTTTGATCCTCCTAATAGCCTTTGCCATCATGCGTCTCATGATCATACTCGCTTGTACAGCAATTCTTCTGATGCCTTTATTCAAAGGAGCTGCAAGTCGTAGAAAACATCTTTTCTTGATTCGTAGTGTATATCCAAAAGAAGGTGAGTCAAAGTTGAAAGATTGAATCATGTGCTTGATGAAATTGTCTACTGGGTAATTTGAAGTAGTCACTTATTCTTCATTTGCTTAAATTTGATTTGGGATCATTCGGATCTTAGGTAAGGGAATGCCATATCTTGTACCGAACAGGTGTATGATTATAGCAATCTGTGAATTATTATCTAGTATCTTATACGTGATGACGTCTTATAGTAACTACGAAGTAAGGACGCATCAGCTCTTCCATCATCAAGGTCACAAGTCTTGACTTCTTTGGCTTTTCTCGTTCCTCTCGGTATTGTTGATAAGTTTGATTCAAATCCTGAATACCCTCAAGGACCGAAAGGATATCTAATTACCTGGTCCGTGTATATTGTTCATATTTCTGAGGTACATCATATGTCCGCGTACTGATGAATCTTTGCTGAACTTGAATTCCTGATAGGTATGGAACTTCGTGAGTGCTTTTTTCTTACCAGTGATAGTTTCAAGATCTCTATAACTGAAATCCATCTAAATTTTCGAAACTCACAAAACTTTCGTTGGGTCTTGAGATCAGATTTCTGCCGTGAGTGCAAATGGGATGACTAAGTTTGGAACGAAAGAACTTAAGGCTGATCAGTTTCAATTTAATCTTGCCTTAGTTCTTATGTTGGAATTTGGATATCAGTCTGGAGTATGGTACACGCTTGGTGAGTTTTACAATTATAACGGGTAGAAGGCCTCCCATCCTCCGATCATTCTGATTGAGGGTCTATCTATTCATGACTTTTGGTGAAATGTGATATACATAGTCTTTCCAATGTTGGTGGCAAAACAAATAGCGCCGCTCGCTTCATTACGCCGTCGGTTTATAATAGCGTGTGGATATCCTGGACACTTTTGGTCATCGGGGTTACAAGCTATTGGGCAGTCCGCACTACTCGTATATTTATATCATTAGGACCGGTGATGATTGAAGTGATTGATGTACTTGTCAAGTCAGCCAAGTCTTGGAATCTTCATCATAGCTTTGCGAACATCCCGTTAGGACTTCTTTTGCAAGATCGTGCAATTTTAGTAGAACTTCGTGATCGTGCAACTTTGTCTACGTTTGGATGGACTGGATCTTGGATGGCATTTGAAGTGGTGTTGTTAGCTGTAAGGTTTAACTTTGACTTATTTTTAACATCAAAATTTTCATAAATGCTAACTACATGAAAGACCTCAATTCTTATTTAGTCATATATAATCACTTCACGATTATTGTTACGTATGCTTAGACAAGTTTTACGTTTGAGAGAATCGGATACTTGGCTTCAGCAATCACAATCTCCAATTTGGGTAGAGTTGGAAAACGAGAAACGTAAGACATTTCCAAGTCTTTTCTAAAAAAAACTCAGATGCTGGACAACATTGACTGATACAACTGACTAACTGATGCTTTTTGTTCCTTAACTCTTTCTAGGTTTCCTCGCTTTCTCTTCCGTTGCACTTACACTAGCCATCAGTTGCCAAATTTGTGTATCGGTATTCCAATGCCTCAGCGGGGCACATCTAACAAGGCAAGCTGTCCTTTGTTTGATAGATTCCTCAAACTAGACAAATCACTTATACTCAGGATCTCTTAAAATTGTAGTCCAGAATGGAGAATCGGTTCAGCAATTATCAATCATCTTCCTGGTGTATTTATGGTACCAGCTCAACTGATTCAATCGGTAAGAAAACTTTCTAGTCTTTTTTGCCTATCAAAGAACCGATTGTTGGAAACATCTATTTCCAAAAAAGAAAGCTGAATTATGTTTTGATTAGTGGAGAATTTTTGCAGAACGATCAATATTAGCAGATCCAGAATTGAACATACCGTCATTGAACTTCATGCATAGCGATTTACCACAAACTACTTCACAATTATTAGGTTGGGATACCACCGTTTTTTGGGGTCAAGAGCCTTTGATGGAAACTTCAAACTTTTCTGGATTATCTGAACTGCCTTTAAGAGCTAGACATTCTGAGGATAGCTCAATGAGTAAGGATAACTCGGCTTCAGAGAAATCTCATATGGATA